CAGTTTATTTGTTTTGTTTGATGATATGCATGCTTTTCTTCTGTAAACAGGTAATAAATTTCTGTAGATAGTCTTGATGTGTTATCTTTGTGTAAAGTCGGTGAATATAACTAAGGTGTTAGTGGACTGGATGAAAAGAAACTGGTTATTAGGCAAGAACAGGGTAGTAGTTATGCATGACTATGTTTAGCTATGCAGACTAATGTATTCTTCAGGTTTATAGCTTGGCACCTTCACCTGTTTAAAAAAAAGAAAAAAAATTAGTTACATATATGTACATGGTTGACTTTCTAATTTTTAGGTGTCTCAGTGTTTCCAAATAAATGATGTTAAAATGTGCGGGATAAAGGGTATGTAACTGCATAGATGATAGATGGTGCAGTGCTCTTTAGAATTTGAGCTGTACAATTTTAAATGTGGAAGGCGATTTTGTCGTATTGGTCTGTGTGTAAGAGATGGACTTTTTTTTTTGATAAGAGAGGAAGAGAAACATCAATGATGAGAGACAATTATTGATCGGCTGCCTCCTGCACACCCCCTACTGGGGATTGAGCTTGCAACCTGGGCATGTGCCCTTGACTGGAATCAAACCCAGGACTCTACCGGCAACATAAAACAATCTACGAAGATATTTGAAAATGTTGAGTACCCTGAAAAGATGGTAGGTAGTCCCTGCCTTAAGAAGCTTGGGATCTGAGGTTGGCGAGTCAGTGGTGATAAGGCAGGGATGGTAACTTATCCAAGAGAGAATCAAACCCAGGACTCTACCGGCAACATAAAACAATCTACGAAGATATTTGAAAATGTTGAGTACCCTGAAAAGATGGTAGGTAGTCCCTGCCTTAAGAAGCTTGGGATCTGAGGTTGGCGAGTCAGTGGTGATAAGGCAGGGATGGTAACTTTCATCAGAGATCAACATGAGGAGCTGGGTGCCCTGGGAGACACTTTTGAACAGAAGTGGCCTGAGTGTTAAGGAAGAAGGTGGAAGGAGGAGGCAGTGGGTAAAAGAGAAGCAGTGACAGATCTGTGTGTGACCAGGGCCCCCAAGGAGAGGGCTCTTTTAGGATTCTCAGTTTTTAGGTCACTGGCAGCGGGCGTGGGCAAGTGGGGGCACCTGTGGAAAGCATTGTCTGATTTGAGTCCTGGGTGTGGGACCACCAGGGAGAGTCCAGAGTGACACCTCCTATCCCCTCAATCCTGGCACACATCCCTCCCCTTCTCTATCATATCCCCTCCAATAAGAAGGTCCTTAGCAGCAACATCAACATATGCATCCTTTTTGTGACAGAAGAGGTCTTGGGGTTGGCAAACTCTGGCTTGTGGGCCAAATCTATCCTGTTGTTTCTATATGGCTTTTGAGTGGTCTTTATATCTTTAAGTGGTTGAAAAAGAAAGAATCCTATATAATCAAAGCATAATATGCAAATTGACCAAAAGGCTGAACAGTGGAAGACTATCCAGATGACCATCTTGACGACCATCCAGACAATCATTTGGGACCATGCTATGACACCCCCTGGCGCCAGGCCAGCCCGGCCACCACCCCATGATGGCCCCACAGAGGGAGACCCAGGCCACCAACAGCTAGGGTACAATTTTCTTTTATGTCACAGAGGTACTGTAATGATCAAATGGGATAATATGGGAAGCATATCTCACATTTAGTACATGTTCAGTGATTTATAAGTTTCCTCTTTTTAAAACTATAGTTTTATTGATTTCAGAGAGGGAGAGATAGAAACATCAATGATGAATCATTGATTGCCTGAACGCCCCCTACTAAGGATGGAACCCATAACCCAGGCATGTGCCCTTGACCGGAATCGAACCTGGGACCCTTCAGTCCGCAGGCTGATGCTGTGTCCACTGAACCAAACCAACTAGGTAGGGTAGGGCTACAATTTTCTTAATTAGAATTGTAGGTCAGGATCTCCACTCATGCTGCGATCTGTCCGTGGTACTTGGCAAAAGTCACTAGCAAATGTGAAAAGATGCCCAGACAGCCATGAAAGTACAATCAATATAAAACTATCTGAGATGGTAAGGCAGCATGGAAATCACAGACATTTGTTCAGGTTTGGGTGGCACTGGTAAAGTAAGACTGCAAGGATATAGCAAAACACAGACACCTTCCCAGCTCTGAGGTAATTTTTAGGGTAGAATTGTATATGGTAGGGTTCAAAGGAAGCTAAAAAGATAAATGGCAGTTACAGTTAACAAATTTGTGCCATTACTTTTTTAAAAATATTTTTTTTATTGATTTCAGAGAGGAAGGGAGAGGGAGAGAGAGAGAGAATGATAAGAATCATTGATCGGCTGCCTCCTGCATGCCCCACACTGGGGATCAAGCTCACAACCTGGGCATGTACCCTGATTGGGAATTGAACCATGACCTCCTGGTTCATAGGTCAACGCTCAAACACTGAGATCCCCAGTAGGGAGTGTTTAGGAGGCAGCTGGTCGATGTTTCTTTCTCATCAATGTTTGTAACTCTATCCCTTTCCGTTCCTCTGTAAAAAAATCTCAATAAAATATATATTAAAAGAAAGTCAACTTTATAAACAAAACAAAACATGGGTGGGTGTTGAAGGGCTTGTTCTGTATTCTGATTATGGTGGTCATTAAATGAACCTATGCAGATATTAAAACCCATAGAACTATATATCAAAAGGAAAACAAGCCAGTTTTACTGTATAATTTAAAAAACCCACATGGGTGCTGGTTTGAATCAATCGCTTATTAGTTGTGTAACTCTGGGCTTATTTGTGCCTCACTTTCCCATCTGTAAATGCAGATAACTATACTTCCTGCATATGATTGTAAGGATTCACTTAATATGTGTAAAGCACTTCAAATAGTGCTTGGCTCAATATAAGAGCTAGCTACTATCCTACCTAATAAAAGAATAATATGCAAATTAACTGTTTTTCTGCGACACAGATGGTGGCACCCATAGTGGCAGGGGGCGGAGGGAGGATGCTGGTGGCATCGCCCTGGCGACACGAGCCCAGCATCCCGTGCCTCGGCTGTGCGGAGAGAGGGACTTTTGGCCAAGCATCCTGCACCCCAGCGGTGCGGAGGGAAGGGCCTCTGGCCAGAGACCAGGGCACGGGATGCTGACATCTTTGCAAGCCGGGCTGTGGGAGCCCCGCCCCCCCCTCCATGCACGAATTTTGTGCACCAGGCCTTTAGTCCTATATAATGAAAGTCTGATATGCGAAGTGTCTGGTCGACCAGTTGGCCGTTCAGCCAACCAAAGCATATGGTAATGATATGCTAAGGCTGCTCAACTGCTCGCTGTGACATGCACTGACCACCAGGGGGCAGGTGCTCTGACCAGTAGGTTAGCTTGCTGCTGGGGTCCCCAGATTGGGACTGAGTGAGACAGGCAAGACACGCCCTGGAGCCCTCCTGCTGTCCCTCCCTGGCTGGCCAACCTCCTGCATCTCTCCCTGGCCTTGATAGTGCACTGGTGGGGTCTCTTGGCCTGGCCTGTGCCCTCACAATCTAGGACAATTCAGGGGATGTCAGAGAGCTGGTTTCAGCCCGATCCCAAAGGTCAGACCGAGGGACTCCACTGGTGCATAAATTCATGCACTGGGTCTATATAATAAAAGGGTAATATGCAAATTCACCCTCACCGCAGAACCACTGGGACCAGTCACTATGAGGTACACTGACCGCTTCTTGGTCCTTTCCCCCAGCTGTCAGGCCCAATCACCTGATGGTGAACAGGGAACTGGGGGTGGGTGGTGGCAGGGGGCAGCTGGGGAATGTGGCCCTGATTGCAGGCCAGGTGTATGGACTGTACCCATGCACAAATTTTGTGTGCCAGGCCTCTGGTTATTATATAAAAGAATAATATGATATAGTTTCATGATTATTGAAACTATGAGTAGTCTGAAATATAACTAACATGAAGTACTACCTTTATGCAAGAAAGGAAGACACCCTAGAAAAGTGTAAATGCTACTAAGCAAATTTAAATCTGTTCTGTTGCTATTGTCCAAGGAAGATATAAACTAACCAAACAAAAAAATCCCCTCATTCTCCTAATTCATACATTCATGCATTCATTGAATGCCCATTTTCCAGGGACTTACTGAAAAGTAAGAAATTATCTTGGCAGGCTTTCACTGATGGTGTTCTTTAGTATATGTGTGTCTTTTTTGTGTGGCCTCAGTTTTCTCCTTTACTTCC